GGATATTTGGAAGAGGCCAACAAGTAACCATTTCCTTTGTGAAAGCAAGTTATTAATGACTGAGGCATCCACGGCTTGACGGATTGGGTTTGTTTTAGGGGATAGGCTTCAGTCCAGTTCTGTTATTGGGACTGGATATCCCACTGCATGTCCTGATGGCTGGGAGGGAGAAAAGAATGTTAGTGCTTATTAAGTAATAGCTATGTGCCAGTAAACACTAAATTCTCTGTATACATCACATTACTTCATTTATTTCTCCAAGTCTTGATTTTTTCAGTCATGAAATGGGAGTAGTATCATCAGTGTTCTGTGTGGATTAAATAAAGGTGATGGAGTGAAAGTTCACTGTATACTGCAAACTGTCTTAGGACTACAGAGCACTAGTGCAATGACAATTTGCATTTAAGGCATAGTATGGGTTAGGTGCAGGACTTAGCCTTAGGCAGTCTTATGGTCTGATCTCAGCTTCATTACTTAATAAGTAATTGTTCCCTATATCCCCTCATATAAAAAATGCAGATAATTTCAGTACTATCCAATAATAGTGATATGATTACAGGAGACAAGACTGTAAGAGTGATCAGCAAAGTACCTGGCACATAACAAGCACTTGATAAATAAGTACCTTTAAAAACTGTAATTCTTCATGTTAGTATTATTTAAAAAGATTAGGTCTTTGCCACAGGTTTCACTAATAGATTCCAAGAAAGTTTTTCAATCATAGAGAAGTCTGGTGGAAAATCCATTTAAGTTTGGGTCTTGCAGATCCATGTTTGAGTTCCTCCTTGCCCGACTTTCTCAGAAGCAGATGGCAGGTGGTAAACTGGGAGCATGAGCCACGGCTACCCGATCAGGAGACGAGCAGACACTCGTCTGTGTCTGTGATGGCCCAGCGGAGCCTGGGAATTCTGCTTGCTGCCGGGTGCTCCTATGTCCCACTGACTCAGAGCGGATGGGGAGTTTTCTGTGGAATCAGCAGGGTTGCTGGGGAAATGCCACACACAGACACTTACCACTTAGAAGAACTTGCCACAGGGGGCAAGTGAAGTCTCTGTTCTGACTGACACAGGATGGATGAGTGGAGGAGACCATCCATCAGTGTCAGGAAAGATCTGAAGCACCTGGCTAGTCAGTTGAAATAAAATAAATTATTTACTGATCTCAGAATCCAGCTGCTCACTCAAATGCTCATAAAAGGTGTGCAGTTTGCTGCCCTGTACTTTACAGTAGATTCAGTTTTGGAACGAAAGAATTCCTGCATCACTCTGCAGGTTTTTGTTGTTACTGTTAAAATGAAAGGATGTTTCCTGCTGTGCAAGGAGGGAGAGGGGGTTCTAAAGTTATATGTGGAACTCATCTACATGGTGATGGGAAATGAGCTTTTTTTTTTTTTTAAGATTTTATTTATTTATTTGAGAGAGAGAGAGGGAGAGAAAGCGAAGCATGAATGAGGGGTTGGGACAAAGGGAGAGGGGAGAAGTGGGCCTCGATCCCAGGACCCTGAGACCACGACCCCAAATGAAGGCAGACACTTAACTGAGCCACCGAGGCAGCCCAAGAAATGACCTTATTTATTCACTGCATGGTATAGTACATGGGTGCAGTATATGTAACTGTCACAAAACTCCTTAGAACTAATTAATTAAATTTCTGTTTATGATGCTAAAGATTGAGCTTAGATTCATAATTAAAACAAATATTCTGGCAACTTCTGTTTAGAAGCTCCATGGAGAGTTGTGGCTCTCCACCAGAGGGTCCCATGTGTACCACTGGAAACATCCAGAGGTGACTGGGACCTGGCCTCTAGCATACTTCTGAGAGCCACTGCTCTAGGGAGAGATACCTGCATTACTATCAACATCCATTTCTACCTGAGAAGTCTCCCCTCCACTGTAGCTACAAGTAAAACTTTGCCAGTAGAGCCACCACCTAATCTGACAGATGCGGTTAATTTCAAGATGGTAGACTAGCATGGAAAGCTATGGGCAAAATAGATGAGAGTGACAACAGCAACACTAAGATAGGCCTCCATTCAGAATACACCTTCTAGGGGACACTTTTATTCTATCTTGAAAGGTAAATGTTATAATTCCTATTCTATAGATGACAAAAACTAAAACTGAAAAGAGAAGGGATTTGTCCAAGTTGATACTGCAAGTAAGTGGTAATGCTGAGATTTAAACCCAGTCCCGACTACAGAGCTAGGGCTCTTCCCACAGATTCCTTAGTGGGTCTTTTCCTTTAAGTGAATATACATGTGAGAATCTTTTCTGCCTTTGGAAAAATGTGTGGGAAAGAAGCTCATGATTTTGGTTATCTTTCCAAAGCATTGCTTTTCTACCTTGGGAATCCGTGGATAGGATGATGCTCACCTGGGAAAATCCTTGCCTTGTTCCCTGGCTGCAGTCAGGCTACTTACTGGGTTTCTTAAAACTAGATTCACTCTGGGGCACCTGGGTGGCTCAGCTGGCTGTGTCTGCCTTTGGCTCAGTTCGTGATCCCAGGGTCCTGGGATGGAGCCCCGCACCAGGCTCCCTGCTCAGTGGGGAGCCTGCTTTTCCCTCACCCTTTGCTTACTGTGCTGTCTCTCTCTGTCAAATAAATAAATAAAATCTTTAAAAAAACAAACAACAACAACAACGAAAAACTAGACTCACTCCTTTGTTCCTGGGAAGGTATTGTAGGCAAACACAAACTAGATGTCTGAATATCATTCTTATTTTTAGTAAACTTTTAATTGAAAATATACCAACAAAAAACAAAACAAAAAAAACCCCAAACAAAAAAGAAAATATACCAACAGAAAGCGCATGAGTCCTAAGAGTATCTATAACTTGATTTTTCCACAAAGTCTAAACACTCATGTAATCGGTACCCAGATCAATAAATGAAAACTTACCAGTATCCCAAGACTCCCCTGCAGTCACTACAGCCTCCTCTCCTCCCAGATAACCACCATCATTACTTCTACACAGTAGATTACTGTATATTCTTGGAAGGCAGTTATGCTCACCACTATAGCACCAACACTATTTTTTGTGTATTTTTGAACGTTATATAGTAGAATAATACAGTATATATCTTTCTCCCTTTTTTTGAATCTGGCTTTTTTTTGAGTAGCCTCATTATTTTTATTTCTATGAGAAGAGCCAGCAAGAAAGACACCAAAGATTTTTATGTTTTAAAAATCAACATTATAAAAAAGGTTTTTTGTTTTTGTTTCATTTTTCACCATTTTAGATACTTAGCATTTTGTTTGTTTTTGTGAGGAGGCAATAACAGGTCCAGAAAGGGGGAAAAAAGGTGGGTTCTATGTTTTGGTTCAAAGTTACTGGGTGCTAAATTCATCTAGTTAGTTTGTTAGAATCACCATCTTCTTAGCAGCTGGTGTTTATGGAGGCCTTGCTATGTGCCAGGTGCCTTCCTAAATATTTTGCACGTGTGATGACATTTCATCCCCATAAGTACCGCATCTATGAGATAGGGACTACTGTCTTCACTTTACCAATGAGGAAATTGAGGCTCTGAATCATTTGCCTGTGGTGATGCTGCTAATACATGAGCCAGGGTTTGAGCCCCAGCTTCTAGCTCCAGAGTCTGTCCTCTGAGTGCTCCACTAACAGCTCTCATTTGCAGGAAGTCTGCCACACGCCAGGCCCTGTGCTAAATGCTTCACATGGCTTCTCTGACTTGTTCCCCAAGGCAATCCGAAGAAGCTGGTGCTACTGATATTCACATTTAGATCGAATGGACTCAGGCTCAGCAAGATGAAGACACTTGTCTGGTGCAGCTGGCTCCTGGCAGAGCTGTGATTCAGAGCTGCTGTGAGACTGGTGCCCCTCTCTGACTTACTCAGCTGTACTGTCAGTGTGTTTCAAGCTCCAGTCAGTCAGGTTGGGAAGGAATATTTGAAAAGACTTTCTTTTTTTTCTTTTTTTTAATTTGGAGAGATTTTTGAGGCTTAATACAAATTAGCTAACCTAATAGCAACATTACAAAAGACTTTATTAGGAAACACAAACAGAGCATTTGTGAGAAACCTTTAATCAGCAGGCCTCAGAGCTGGAGTGCAAACTTCCTCCCTTCACACATAAACAGCTGAGGCCTGGGAAGAGGCAGTGTGGCAGAGACAGGTAGCAGGGCCAGGGTATGTGTCAGCTCTCTGACTAAGCCTAGCATCCATACCTACTCCCTGCTCCTTCCTTAAGGAGCAGATGCACTTAAGTTGGCCAGACCAGGATTCTGTTCCTGACACCACTACCTACCTGGTGTGTGAGCCTGGGCATGAGATGTCACCTCACTGGCACCTCATTTATCTTCTTTGCTGGATGGGGAAGGTACAAATACTTTCCTTTTAGGTAGTTCAGTAGTGTATGGAAAGCACTTAGCACAGTGCGTAATGCACAGCAGATACCTATAAATGACAGCCGTGATGATGATGATGCAATATTGACTCCTATGATACTTTATCTACTCTTGTTATGTGTAAGTCAAAACAGAAATTTAGCACTTAATTAGAACAAATTAATCCCAAATATTAATTGAAAGTTGATTCTCAATTATTTGGAGGATCTAAATGTAACTTCTGAGATCATTAAAAAGCTTCCTGAATAAAGGCATGAATGAATAAGCAATGAATTCACCTGAGTAAAAAAAAAAAAAAAGGCAAGTGGCAGAGCTACCAAGCAGTTCTAAGGATAGCATGTAAGAGAATTACAGAATGATAAGAATTATGGAACTTCACAGAAGTCAATCAGTTTGAAGAGTCTCAAGTTAGTTCTATTTCTAATCTTCTGCTTCATAAAAAAGAAGACAAGACAGAGCACTCAGGTGGGAAAAAGGAGGTGCTTTATATTTCACTGTTTAAACATTTTCTCTGAAAACAAATTACCATTAGTCATTCAGGTTACATAAAAGTCGGATGTTGTTTCTTTCCCTGTGTCTCTGCTGACCACTGATACAAAGGGTCCGTCTGATCCATCACTGGTTCGTGCACTTACCTAACTGGACATCAGTTGTGAATCGTAGTCTGTGGATCATGCTGACTTTGAATGACTTGTAATGGTGGCTGCTAAGCATATCCTGTACTGTAGCTATGTCAATTTGTGAATCCTCCTCAAAAACTCCGTCTGCCCTTGAACCTGGGGAGGAAAAAGCAGTTTAACACATAAAGATACATGAGGCTTGGCAAATGGTGTCTGCTTAAAATGCTTTGGGATAAATTAAAATAATATGGGCTATTTAATTTGGAGAAGAAAAGGCTGAGCGATGACTTAATAATGCCATTCCAGTAAACAGAGAATGGTAGCATATTCATCATTCAACAATTAATTCCACAAACACTGCCTATTCTATGGCAGGCCCTTGGCTAGGCAGCAGGGATGTGCAAGGATAGAAAAGCTGCTGTTTGCCAGAAGCTTTCTGTCTCCGTGAGAGTAAGTTAAAACCACAAAAGCATGGGTGGTCACACTTGTTTCTTTTCTTAATAATAATTTTTCCAATCATAAAAGTAATCTACACTCTTGAAGAATTCTCATGCTTTCCAAGATCCTCAAACTGTCTGTTCATCAGCTTCCTGTCTTGCATCCCACAGTCTCCACTGGTGCGGGCACGAGCCTGCTCTTGCTGGGAAGGCTGTAACAGTCTCCTCACTGGCCATTTGGCCACAGATTCCCCCTGCAATCCAGCCACCACAGGACTTTCTGATTCATACAGCTTTCTAAAGCTTTGATTACTTATTCATTCATTTGATATTTAGTGAGAGCTTTGTGCATGCTGAGTACTCTGATATGTGATACTAACGAAAATATGAAGGCTGGTGCTCAAAAATCTTCCCTGACTTCCCATGGCCTCCTGAATGAGGCACTGTTTTCAGCCAAGCAATCAAGACTGTCCATAATCTGGGATCCCTGGGTGGTGCAGCGGTTTGGCGCCTGCCTTTGGCCCAGGGCGCAATCCTGGAGACCCAGGATCGAATCCCACGTCGGGCTCCCGGTGCATGGAGCCTGCTTCTCCTTCTGCCTGTTTCTCTGCCTTTCTCTCTCTCTATCATAAATAAATAAAAATTAAAAAAAAATAAAAAAAGACTGTCCATAATCTGGCTGAAATACAATTTTTCAACTGTACTTGTTATTTCTCATCAATACCTTCTTTCAACTCCTCCCAAATTCCTCAGACTGCACACAAGTCCACGTTTTTCTACTCCTAGGCCTTTGCTCATATGGAAGTCTTGGCCTAGAACACCCCTTCTAACCTTACCCTGCACTTGTCAAAACTCCACTCAGGACAGCTCAAACTCTACCACCTCCTGAATTCCACAGCAGTTTTGGTTTATACTGCACTCTGGAGCCAGATCGACTAGGGTTCAATTCCTAGCTCTGCCTCTAACTTGCTATATGATCTTGGGCAAGTGACTTTATCTCTCTGAGCCCCGGTTTATACCAAGCACAGAATACCAAAATGTATTTAAAGAATCTAACACATAATATACTTAATAATAAATAGCAGTCATGATTATTTTTATTCTACTGTCATAGAGGACCACATTCAGCCTTGCACTAAAATTGCTGAGTGGTTGCACTGGCCTAATTTAGAAACTTTTTGATTGTCAGTAAAGTTTCCTCATTCATCTCTGTATTTTCTGCAAGCAGTACAGGTAGCTGGTATGCTCTTGCTAAATTCTGCTAAATACATACATACAAACTATGCAATACAATACATAAAGCACCAGTGTATATGAGTGCTTATTATACATCAGGCATGGTGCTAAGTGCTTTATACATGCACTTAAGCATCCTAACAACCTGGTGGGCACTAATTTTCTGTATTACACAGATGAGGAATCTTAGGCTTTGGGAGGTAAAGTTATGTGCCCAGGGCCACACTAAGCAAGGCTAAATTATTTCCTGTCCCCCAGAGTTTAACATGTGGTCTTCTGAAGGTGCAGCTGCTGGTGCCATTCACCACTGGAATGGGAGCACTTGTATAGCAGAAGCCAACCAGAGCAGGGTGCTCTAAGCCTTGTTGTGCTGAATACCCAGAGATGGCTCCACAAGGAAATCCAGAGAGAACTCCTTGGGACAGTTGGAGGAATGGAAAGCTCTAGATTTGGGTACCAAATGGGAAAATTCTGTTATATAACTGGTAGCTTAACAATTACATGCTTTTCCTTCCCAGAGGTATTGCTTACAGGGTAGCTTTTAAGTCAAAGTTGGTTTCTGATGCCTTTACCTTGAACTCACGTATCAGGAATTGTGTATTTGATTTCCAAACGCTATAATTTTTCCCAGCTAAAATAACTCCATCACCTACAATAACGCTCTCCCCTCAATGAAGACACAGCCTCACCCTTAATGGGCCATTTATTGAAGGTCTGTGATATGGTCCCATCTTTGAGCATCTGTGCATATTGTCCTCTCTCCCCCACTTCCTATTCCTCCACGTCTTCTCCCTATTCTCCCTGAAGACCTTAGTTCAAATGATACTCTAGGGAAAGCTTTCCTGACCCCGGGCCCCCATGTCTAGGTTCAGCTCCTTTTGAAACTGCACCCAGTATTTTCTTGCAGAATGTTGTCATGGCTAGTCATCATTTATCTCTGCCCCAAGACAGCAGGCAGAATGACTGCTCTACTCACCATTATAGCCTAGATCCTGCTAGTGTCACCATGCCCAGGATAAAGCAACGCCTCAATAAAAATTTACTGGATGAATACGAGCTGCCATGTCCACAGGAAGGTGGCAAGAGAGGCTGAGTGACTTAACCAATATTAGATCGCTAGGATCAGAAGAGTTGCACTTAACATCTATAAGGGCCATTAAGTTACCTTGTTACCTTCCTTTGGGACACCTATAATTTTGGGCAGAGGTGCCATCATTGCAAGCACTACTGTTTTCTAGTAATGTCCATCTCTTAAACCAAGAGGCTGGCTAGAATTCACAGTTTCAAATAATCATTCTCTTTCCCGATATACACTTAACTGAAACAGAACTGCAAAGATGTGTTTATTTCTATTTTTAGAAACCTTTAAATATGAGAGTGGTGGAATTTTAATAAAATGTTAAAATCTTTTGTTTTAAAGATTAGTTAAAGCCATCTTATCTGAGAAAATGCCATTATTAGGCATAACTTAGCTCAAGAACTTCTGTTTTCTTTACTAATATAGTATTTTCTAAATATTTTAGGTATTTGATTTGGAAAGGGGTAACTGCTCATTATGCTAAAATGCCAATTACTGAAAAAACAAACAAAAAAACCCCCCCCCAAAAAACCCACCTACACTTAAGAGTTTTACATTTTATGATGTTGGATTAAAACCAATTTAAAAATTACTGTAACGCGACATATAATTTTTTACTGAGCAATTTCAATGCCAGCTGCTAATAAAGCATCTTAGCTGTAAATGATAATTCAGATGCTTTTAGATAAAGTGGTGCATAAATATGGCTGGAAATTGATTTAGCTTCTTACAGAAGCTACTGAAGAGTGACATATTTTGTTTAATACACCAGCTAATGTAGTCCTAAAAGCTCAAACAAGTGTCAGTTTTCATCCTAAATTTGCTATGGGAGATTAATGAAAACTTTATATTTTGCTGAAATGTTAATAATGGGCAGATGAGATGATAGGATTTTAGTAGAGGTCTTAAAGATATGGAATAACCAGCAAGTCTTGTCAATTTCCTTATATTAATTTTGTTCAAGACTTATAAAGCTGGAGCTGGCTCAACACACTAATGATTCTTGCACTGACCTCCTACTCTTCAACAGTATAAATTCATATCCCATTTGAGGATTTAAACACCCCTGATACTGGGCTAAGTTCTGAGCCCAGTCCCACAAGACAAGGGGTGTATTTGCTTTTGTGATGAGAAGGGCAACAACATCTGGGAGAGTAGGAAGGGAAGGAATGTCCCTGTGCTCACTTCTAGTATCTGCCATTCACTCCCAAGCAGGTCATCTGCCAAGTGGGAACAACTTCTGGTCTCAGAGTTATGCCGCCATTTTTCAAAGTAGGCTCAGGAGCACTGCTGCTCAGAGGGGGCATGTGTGTGCATATAGATCAGTCAGCCTTATAACCTGCAACTACTCTCCCCATGCCAGCAGGATGCTAGACTATGGAGGCACACTGGTGAGGATAAGGCAGGGTTCCTGATCTTTAGGAGCTTACAAACTTGGTATTAGGAACACAAAGAAAACAGTACAAGGCAGAGAGAAGTACCCAATAAATGGTGCATGCAACAGACACTTTATATCTAAAGACATACATCTGAAGCAGAGCATGATACCAAAAGCACGTTTTTGGACCAGAAAAGTTCTAAGACTTTACATATATACCTTTACTGTTTGTATCCTTCCAGAAAGGAGTAAAACCAACCATACATCAGCACTATACCATTTGCATGTTAAAATTATTAATATATATCAACTTCACATTTAAAAACCCACTTATGTTCAAGAGAAGACGTTTTTATCTACTCAAAGTAAAAAAGAGAACAGCATGTCCTAAAAATAAACATATTTAAAAAACCACTCCCAAACTATTAATTTAGTTGAAACACAACCCTTTGGTATTTTGTTAAATTAGCAATTAAAAAGGTCACAAGCAATTAAATGAAACAAAAGCCACACTGTGTTCATCTACATTAATGCTGAACTGGGTCTCCTCCTGAATGACAAGATAAATTGTAATGGTGCCTTCAAAGACTTCACAATGTATTTTGTCAAAGTCGGGAGTGTTAATGTCTCTATGTGCCATGGATTACCATAATGTATTGTGTCAAAACGCTCGAGCTGCAATAACTCATAGATGTATTGTGATAGATCAAATTTTGGGGTGGAGCCTAAAAGTGACTTGCGCACCAGGTGCTCGGATTGGACTGACACCAGGCTTTGGAAGAATGACAGAGAGCCCAAGTGTAATTTGTAAATGTTTGAGGGACAAAATTTAAGGGGGAAAGGAGTGCAGCTATCTAGAGGAAAGAATGAGAATAGAAGAAACAGGAACAACACCTATCTTTTTTTTTTTTTTTTTGGAACAACACCTATCTTAATGGCAAAACCAGGCCTGGGCAAGAGGGGATGGGAGGGAAGGAGTAGCCGGGCAAAGTCTAGGGCCTGCAGAAAAGAAAGGGGAGGGAATGGC